TTTCCAGCAACTTGTGTTTTGGTTCCTGATCTAACTGCATCCGCAGTTCTTTTGGTTTCTATTTGATGTACTTTGATCCTGGTGTCTGACATTTTTTTGATCTCTCTCTCTGGCTATTGGAAAATTAAATCTCTAAGACACTTGCCAGTCTGTCCACGTTACATCAACAGAGATGGTATCATTATAAAATGCAGTATAGATACTCCCTTATCTGACGGACTTTACTCTAATTTGCTGGCTGAATTTGGCAGTGTTGCATGTTCTTATAATTTCACATTTAATTTGAATTAAGGAAGGGATAAAAGAGGATAACTGGCTATTCTTCCCAGGCTTATTTTTGGCTGTCCAGAGGTAGTTATTCTGATCATTAGTAATTTGGGCTGGTTCTGTCCAGTGCCCTGAAATTTGACCTGGAAACACCAGAAGGAAGGATAATGAACGAGAGGAGTCAGTCATCCAACCCTGAATTTGTACCAGTTCCTGGTTTGTAGATCTGGAATAAAGGAGCTGCATTTAGTCCCATAAATGTCAAGAACCAGTTCAAGGATGACAGTCTTCAGGAATCTGATCTAAATAATTGTAAGAATGACAACAGCGGAGAGTACATAGCTTGCTAGCATCGACTCTTTCCAAGTTGAGTGTGGATAGCAAAAGACTGGATATAAACCAGATGGCTTAGTTTGCAACTCTGTGCTGTATTGTGAGATAATGAGATTGCATTTGAACCATGAAAACTGAGCTCTGTCGATCAGGTTTTTCCCACTGAGCGAGAAAACTCCTAACTCTCTCTAAGTTGCTGTATCATATGCACTAAAAAAAAAAGCAGTTCAACATGACTTTGCTGATCCTACCCAGAACCATACTCTCGGCACAGCTGTATTTTGTGCCTTGGGTTATGAAAGAATAAATCTATGAAGTTATTGCTCTGGGTTGTTGTCCAGTGATCCATGCTGGGAATGTGTTAGGACAAGATTGAGTTGGCTGCAGTTGGTTTCCCCTTATCCCAAAACATACATGTGCCAGTATCATCATCAAATTGAATAATGGTCATTTGCATTCAGCTTGACGAAGCATCCAAAATTTACATGAATATAAATCCTCAAAGCCGTGAGGAATGTGAACGGAGTAAATAGGGACATCCTTTTTCCTGCAGGAAAGAAAGCATCAAAAACCAGAGGACACTGATTGAAGATGACTGTTAAAAGAAAGCAAAATTAACAACTTCACATACAAATGGGTAAAACTTAGAATGTGCTGTCTGAGAGTGATGGAGGCAGATTCAATTAGAGAATTGGATAATTAAAAAGCGAATAATAAAAAGAAAATTTGCAGGCACAAATACTTGGCAATGTGACCAGGTGATTTGCTCTTGCAGAGAGTCAACGAGAACACAGGCTACATGGTCTCCTTTCATGTTATGAAAATAATTGTATTTAGATTTCCGTGGCTGTATAAATCTGAGGAACAAGTGCTATCTAAAAGCAGGAAGGAAGAACTGTGTGAAAACAAACTGGTTGATTCAGATTGGCTCAGTGGATTCGTGGTTTCTTGAGGTTTTGTTTTCATTTTCTCTTACCTACATAGATGTGGCAGTTTGAGGTTAGCACATTTTGAGATGTGAAAATATTGAACCACCAAAATGTAGCACCTGCTACACTAATCCTTTCCTGTATTATGTGTGGTTGCACTTGGAAAACCATGTGTTGATTGTGACAAGACTGCATATTTTGTTCAAAGCAGCAAAGATTGTAAATAGCTGTGGAATTCAACTATTTTATTTTTTGCTAAAAATCTTCCAAATGGAAGTTTCCACTTAGAGCATTTAAAAGAAAAGCTGGTGTCTGGTGGCCAGCTGCTGACAGTTGACTCTGGTTTCTTTGCAGAATTTATCATTTACATGTAAGCATGGTGGTGGAGAGGTCAAAAATGTGTCAAGGACATTGAAGAGCCACCAGTTCAGAAAGCAGTCTTCCATTGTGGGAATAACCATTTGACGTCTGCAGTTTGGGTTTAATTTACTTGGGTGTGGTGAAGCCAGTTTGATTGGGAAAGTCAAGCACGAGTTCCTTCAAATAGAGCATGTTTCTGTTGTTGGAACAGAATGGACTGCTGGTGAGCACTGTCTTTAGAAAATCCGAGCAAGACTTGCCCAAGGTGCTGAGAGTTCAGTCTGTTAGGACCAAGGCTGTAACAAAGCCGAGCTGGGTGGTCCTGGTCGGGCAGCTCAAAATGAGCATTGGTGAGCAGGTTGTTGTGGTTCTATAGTGACTAAATGAGTAGTTTGGGTGGTAACAAGTAGAATTTGAGTTATCCTGATTTTATGAACACGCCTTGACAATTTTCCCCACTATGAAGTAGATGCAGCTGTGTTGCAACAGCCTGGCTGGGGTGTGACAAAATGTGGAGCAAAACTTGTAGGTACTACTGCCAGGATGATGTCAAAACTTGGCTTTTGTTATATTTAGTGCCCTCAGGCACTTCATGTCATGTGGGATGAATTGAATTGAATTGGATGCAGATTGGCATCTATTATGCTGGTGGCTCTAGAAGACTGAGGGGAGTCATCTACTTAGCAGCTTTGGCCGAGGGATGATTGGAAATGCCTAAACCTAGCATTTGCAGTGATTTGATTGAGTGCTGTTGATTTTGGGGATATTTGTGGAGCCTTCACCTCCTGTTCATGACTGGTTGTAGCAGCGTGATTGATTATGGAATTGCTTAAACTATGCACATGCATTTTATCATGTTCTGCTGCTTGGCAAGCATGTAGTCCTGTTGTAGGCTCACCAGGTTGGAAGCTCATTTCAGTGTTCCTGTTGGTTTGCTTTCCTGCATTCTCCGTTGCAGCAAGGATGATCTCCTAGTTTGGTATCGTGAAGCATATGTGTGGCCTGTGAAGTTAAGATTATGGTTGAAGGTTCTTCAGCTGATGCTGATAGCTCTCAATGTATAATGCTGTTCACTTTTGAGCTGTTAGATGTATTCTGGGTGTGTTATATTTATTGTGGATGTATGAGGATGGAACTTGAACTCCACATGGTCCCTCCTAATGCTGTAATGGGCAGATGTATCTGTGATGGACAGGTTGGTGAGTATGAGGTGCAGTAAAAATTTCCCTCCTCTTGGTTCTTTTATCTGCTGCAGTGCCAGTCTGGCAGATTACCACTGAGCCACCATCCCTGGATACCATGTACTATAATTAAACTGTTAATTCTGTATATTTTTGAGGAATTAGTTTTTATAGTCTTTGATGTATCAACTTGCTTGTCACTTATTTGCTTGTTTTCTTGTTTGTGTAGCTCCCTATGAAGGTGGTGTATGGAAAGTTAGAGTGGACCTACCAGACAAATACCCATTCAAATCTCCTTCCATAGGTGAGTACTTGCATAACAACTTGCTTTGTGTTTGTGTTGAGATGACTGGTCTTATCCAGTAGAGTAGTGGCATTCGGAACTTGAAGAGTTCCCATTACAACTTGATGTTTATACAGCAAGTACCTAACGTACGCAGACTAGAAAGCACCATTGCAGCCAGGTGGCAATAGACTTTTCTATTCGTGTTGTCACCTTGGAATGGAATGGGAAATATTGACTAAAAATACTGCCCCTGACGACTCAAGCTGCGCACTTGTTGAGAGTAGAATTGGCCGTGATGCCTCGCTGTCAATGAGCAACCATAGGTAATAGCCACCAAGACAGACTCTAGACCATCTATACCAAGGTGTCTGGAGGAGGGAAGGTTGTGTAAAGAAGCTCAATATTGTGCAAATTTGAGTTCTGTTAAAGATAAAGTTGAAATACTGGAAGCATAGAATAGGTAATTGGAAAAAAAGGAAAAGTGAACTTGTGGAGCCAGCAGTACAGTTAACTACATCTTGCTCCACTTAAATGCTTTTGCATTTTTCTAGAATTGTTTCCATTTGGGCCTGTTAACTTCCTTCTGGCTATGATACTGTTACCTGTGATAAGACATTGTTGTCATTGAAAATGTTCTAAATAAGTTGGTCCTGCTGTGTCACAGGACTTTTTCTGTTAGCAAAACAAGTGAAACTTATTTAAATGTGTCTGGAATCAGAAGTGTTAAAACTTTGGGTTCGTGGAATCAAGCCATCACGTATCCTTTTTACTTTTGAATTGGATCGCGAATTTTCTGCAGTTTTAGTCTTTAGCTAAGTGCAAGTGGGTAAGTGAAAGCTGTCACCAAACAGGCATCTTTTCTGTTTTTTCTGGTTTTCCACCTTTTTCATTTCTCCATCTTGCCAATAATATAGCAGCTGTGCATTTTAAGGTTAACACTTCAGTTAAATCTTGAGTGTCTTGAAATTACAGTAATGCTGTTCTTTTCCTTGGTTTCTTTGCTACCGATTGTTAGTGCACATGCACATCAGTGCTGCATAATTTTTTCCATGATTGCATACTATGTCCTGGACCAGCTCAGCAATTTTATTCCAGCTGTGCTATAATCTTGCAAGTAAGATTATGCTATTGTGTCCCTCAACTGCATTTGCAACACAACAAAGGTGTATAGCTGTAAAAATGAGAGAGCCACACAGGGGCTTGGCATACTTTTGCAAAATACAGAGCAAATGTAAAAGCACACCTCTTGGCATGCATTCAGTGTACATGTGTACTGAGTATTTTGGTGAGGTTCTCCAGAGACAGCTCCCTATCAGTGTTTCCTTCTATGCTGCATTGAGATTAATGTTATTTTGTATTGATCTCGGGTGAAAGTGAGAAGCATATACAAATTGGTTTTAGTTCTGCAAAATTTAGATGTTCAGTACTTGCCAAATATTAAACATTCCACATTTTTGGTGATGTTGGCTTATAGCTTTCAAGAATTACTGGAGAAAGTGTTCAAAATGCAGAATAAGAAATTATGCTTCAAAAAATTGACCTGTTCATTTTTTCTACTTTTGAAGGTTGAGTAATTTGACAATGATAGCTCATATATGTTGAGTTTTAATGTACCTATTCAAGCAGACAGAATAATTTACAAGTTAACAGTAAACGATGGCATAGACATCTTTTTATAAGTGTAGATCTTATAAAATTTTATATTAGGTTTTTCTAATTGAGGATTAACTTGCCTACCAATTTGTTTTAATATCCATTTGGCTTGACTACTGCTGTATTCAGGTCAGCAAGCAGGTACTTTTATGATCCCATAATTCCTGTTCATGTTGGGAATTATTGGAAATATTATGCAGTTATCTGATGTTGATCAGTGACCAGCAATTTGAATTACAGAGCACCATCTTGCTGGGAAAAAATGAGAAAGTCAGATCAATATAAAATAGTAGTTAGTTGACACCAACATTGGGAAGAGTAAACAAAGGGCATTTAGAGTTCTACAGTGAGAGATTCTTGAAAAACTAAAGTAGAAAACAGTGCCAGTCTTGATTTCCATTACAGGAGGGCTTAAGGTGAAAGTTTGCAAGATGGTTTGCTTGGGGAATTAGGAGAATAATAACTTGCATTTTTCTAGTGCCTTTGACGTAGTGCGACATTAAGGTGCTTCACAGAAGCAATTTAGAAAATTGCTTTTGACTGTGGAAGGCATAAAGAGCTGGATGACAAAAAGCTTTATCAGTAAGGAATGCCATAGAGAATCTTTGTGTTGGGTAGGAATGAGAGTCAAGATTTCCTAGTAGTTGAAGTTATCACTGCAAAGATTGCATGAAAGAGAGTGTACAAAGAGCTCGAATGCAGAAACCTCCAAAGCTTGTGAGGATGGAGAGGGTGCAGAGATAGAGGTAAACTATGGAGAGGTTTGAAGACTAGAAACAATTTGTGTTCATGAGCAGCAAGATCCGGTTAGGATTCAAGCCGAGACTGATAATTTTGACACCGAGACCGTTTTGAACAAGAGAAAAATCTGACACTGCTACCTGTGGGTTCATCTCCAAGCCACGCACTATTCACACTTGCAACTATGTTGCTGTTCTTTCATTATTACTCGATTTAAAATCTGAATTCCCTTCATAACATCATTGTAGACATGTACATCAGATTTTAGGGTCTTTGAGATCTTTGCACCTTTAAGGCAGGACCAAACTTGGCAGTTTTTTTAAGAATGTGATGTGGAGGTGCTGGCGTTGGACTGGGGTGGATAAGGTCAGAAGTCATCACATGACATCATTGTCGTGTCTTGTTTATCACTTGATGATCTTTCTTTCTGACAGTTGTTTAACTAACTCCTTACTGACCCCAATCATCATCACCTTTGTTTAGACACTTTCCCTGATCAACCAAGAATAGTTTGTGCATGCTAACCAACACCGTTTGCACGTAATACTATATTTGCATGCTGCAATTCCTTTTTCTAGTGAAGAGAGCCACCTGCATTCCACTTTGTCATTAGCAGTTTTCCAAAAACAGCGTACAAGATCTTTTACTTTTGCTTTGAGCAACTCTTTTTACTGTTTGAACTCCCAGAATCACTATAACGGGTTATTTTTTCTATACTCTGCCCCCAACTTCTAAGTTTGCCTCTTTACTCGATTGATACTTTTTATTTAAAAAAACGTTCAATTTATCGATTTGGTCATTGCCCAGGGACAAAGCATGACTGCGAATGAGGTGGGTAAGGGGACCCAGAGTGCAAGAGCCTCAATGTAGGCAATTCATGAACACAGGTTTGAGGTTCTTTCAGCTTGTTGGGAGTAGGGGCTGCAAGATAGCTGAGTTAATTGACCATGCCACTGTGGCGTTGGGAACTGTATGGTCTTGGACATTAACATTGTTCTCTGCAGCAAAGAGCACAAGTTCAGATGGCTGTGTTCCCTGGCTGTGCCAGGGTTCAGGACATCTGCAGAGGACTGGAGAGGAACTTGCAATGAGAGGGTGAGCCACTGTGGTCCATGTAGATGCTAATGAAATAGGCAGGGAAAGAAGGATACTAAACCCGTATGAGGAGCTGGGTGCTAAATGAAGAAACAGAACCTCAAAGCTCATAACCACTGGAATATTAAATAAAAACTGAAACAACTGTGCATGCTGTAATTCAGGAACAAAATTAAGAAGTTGCTGGAAATGCTCAGCAGGTCTGGCAGCGTCTGTGTAGAAAAAATCAGTTAACGTTTCGGGTCCAGTGACCCTCAACTGTTCTGAGGAAGGGTCACTGGACCCGAAACGTTATCACGGGAATATTACTTGACCTGTGTACAAATTTGCATGGGACAAATCATAAGTGGTTCAGACTGGTGATGTAGGTTGGAAGTTCGTAGATCACCTGGCACTGGTATGCTGGTAAGTGGAATGTATAACCTTTCGGATAGCCATCATCTGTACTGTGTTGGCATCAGTGTTCTTATGAGTTGTGTATTTGGGAAATAGAGGATTTTAAACTAAGTAGTGGCAGCAGGCTATCAAATTTGGGAAAATATGGTAAATCAAAGTGGCGACAGGCAAGAGAAAACTTATTATGGGAAATGTTATTGTAACAGTACAGAGTGCAAGTCAATAAATGTGCAGATTAAGCAAGAGGTTACAATAAGAAAGGATAAAACTAAAGTCTCCATACCTCAATTCCAGTAGCATCCGAAACAGAACAGACAAACTGGCAGTACAAATAAAAATAAGCACAAATGATTTGATTGCCATTACAAGGGTGTGGCTGCAGAATAGCATGGATTAATACCTGAATATTGAATGGTACAGGTCATCAATGTAAGCCAGGAAACTAGGAAAAGTGAAAGGCTGGCTATGTTAGTTACTGACATTAACATAATACAAAGGAAAGGCCAGTGTTCTGGAAACCAGGATGTGGAAATAATTTGAGTCGAGGTGCGAAATGATAAACACAACGTACAGGCCTCTTAACATTAACCTCAGCATATGGGTGCAGCCCAGAAGATGTGATAGCGGAGCTTGTTAGAAATGCATGGCAAATGTGGAAGATTTTAATCGACATATAGACCAGAAAAGTCTGGCAAAGGTAGCCTCATGAAGCGTTCATAGAATATTTTTGGGCTAGTCTTTTAGAACAAGCTGTTGTGGGAAGTTCTGCAGAAAATTGTGGCGCCCCTAGCTGAAATATTTGTATCCTCTATGACCACAGTTGAGGTGCTGAAGGACTGGAGGGTAGCTAATGTTGTGACTTTATTTAAGAAAGGCTGTAAGGAGAACCTTGGGAACCATAGACCTGCGAGTCTGACACGAATATTGGGTAAGAATTTGGGGATGATTCTGAAAGATGGGAGTTACTGTATTTGAAGAAGCAAGGAGTGATTAGGGATAGTCAGCATGGTATTGTGCGAGGGAAATTCTCTCTCAAACTTGATTGAGGAAGTAACCAAAAAGATTGAAAACAGTGTGGTAGATGTTTGTTTAAAGTTTAATGAAGCCTTTTGATAAGGCTCTGCATGGTAGAC